CACTCTTTCTAGTGGGTGTGTCTCATGTTTGACAGTATGCATGTATAGTACATAGATTCTTCTCACAACCTCATCTACCTAATCAAATAGGTTGATTGGTACTTGCCTACTAGTGGTTTCCATTAAGTGTAACATTGATGGTGTTGTTAGAGAATCTCCAAGACATTTGCCATGTGGATGTCTTTTTCATGATAGCATTGAAGTTTTTCTTAGGGGTTTTTCCTCTTTTATTAGTATTGAATCAACTTTTTTTTTTGTTGAAATTATGGTGGTTACGCATGCTTTTGAGCAACCACATTGGAGGGGTTGGCATAATCTTTGGCTAGAGTGTGACTTTAGGTTGGTGTTGGATGTTATTTCTAATGTTAACTTAATTCTTTGGATCATTCGTCGCATGTGGGAGCATTGTTTACAACTTTGTTTTTATGTCTTTCATGGCTTCACGTATTTTTACAGAAAGTAATAAATGTGCAGATGCTTTAGTTAGGCCTGATTTAGAGCATAAGGAGGAATTTGTTTGGTGTGATATCTTACCTAGTTTTATTAAGAATTTTTTAAGAATCATTATGACTTATCTTCTTTTAGATTTTGTTGGTCTCTCATGAGTTTTGGTCTATTCTCCTCATATTTTTGTTTGTTCTTTTTTCTTTGTTATTTTATATAGGTGGGGAAGTATAGGATTGATAGGCTTTAAGGTGCCAATCTAGTTGAGATATTTTTGTCTTGTCCTGATATTTTTTCACCTAAGCTTTATTTTGTAAAAAAAAACATATGCGATAAGATTATTATATTTTGTTTATGGATATGAATGGGAAATGGATAATGGATAAAGTATGGGTAGAACACTATATTTACCGCTCACATACTCATTTAAAAATAATACATGTACTCGATCTTATACCAACATGGATAACAATTTCAATTATAATTTCCATACTTGGATACTCATATTTGTATATGCAAACCACACCTTACTTATATACAAGGTTAACAATAATAGAAGAAAAAAACATTTAGCCCTCCTAAATTTTACCTCTTTTACAAATAAATTTTTACTTTAGAGTAAAATATCATTTGAGCCCTTAAAAGTGCATCTCCTTAATATTTTAGTCCCTTAAAATAAGAAAAAGCCTAAATAAGTTATTAAAAATTTTAGTTATTTCATTTAAGTTTCTAAAAGTAATTACTTTTTATCATTTTCGTTTCTAAATATACATTCATATTACCATTTTAGTAGCATGTTTTATTCAATTTTTAATTAAAGTGAGTAACGTTTTAAACTTTGGAGCTTTTTTTTTTGCTAAATTTTCATACTTTCAAGGATTAAAGTATCAACAACCTAAATTTTTTAGAGACTGAATGATATTTTCCCTTTAATTTTATCTCAATCCTTAAACTTTATCCTGATAAAAAGTAGACACTATAAACTTTGATTTTGTAATAATCAATCCTTAGTTTTATTTTCAAATATCATTTTTCTATATATTAAAATATCATAAAATTTATAGTTTTTAAAAATATTTTATTATTTTTATCATTATTTTTTTAAAATCTCATTTTTATTATATTTAAAAAATTATAACAAAATGAATGATTGATGTATAAGATAAATAAGTTAATTATAAATTCATGATAAGAAATTTCTTGTAAAAATGATAAAATTGAACTACTAATTAGAATGAAATCAAAGTTGTTGTTTTTTTTTTAATCAGTATCGGAATTTAACTTCGTTAATATACACTTTATATATAATATATCATAAAAGAATAAATAAATAATACTTATTTTGTGAAAATAGAGTAATGGAGACATGCCATAAGTGTGCAAGTGCAATGTTGAAGAGAGTTGTGTAGTCCCCTTGGGCGATGCGGCATAGTCCCTGTGTCACAACCTTCCATTTCCCCTTCTTCTTCTTCTTCTTCTTCGTCTTCTTCTTCTTCTCGTTCTACAAATCTCGAATTGCGCACGAAGCCCTAGCACCGGAAAATGGATGACGAGGAGAGAGAGAGACTTCTGGAGAGGGAGAGATTGCAAATCCAGGTGATTCGCCAGCTCGATCTCGAGGACCTCGAAGTCGAAGAAGTCGATCACTCCGGTGACGACGACGACGACTACGCCAACGAGGAGTATGCGCAATACCTCTCACAATTCACTTCTCCCACTCCTGATCCTGACTCATCCGTTGAATTCACTTTCGATACCTATATCGCGCCTTTGCATACGTATCTCGGTGGTTAGCGTTTCTATTGCGTTCCTATTCCTGTGTTATGCTTTCTGTCTGCGCCTTTTTCTGCGACGCGTTGCTATTGCTTTGTTTTGTTGTTTGCCGCAGATGTCGAAGACACGCGCCACAGGACGGCGTTGTTGGACGGTGGTGCTGTTGTCAACGTTCCACTCTTCAGTCTCCAAGGTATTATTTCTAACGTGTGTTGGGCTGAGAATTTGTATAATTAATTTTAGTGGAATTGATTTTGAAGTGAAGTGATTTATGTTTGGATATCTTTATTCGTTGAGTTAGTAGTAAAACTAGGTATAATTTTTTTTATTCGACACTAAAGCTATAAAGTTGTTTCAACTCAATCGATTATCCAGCTGCACTGTCTCAGGGTGTTTTTGGCAGTTTCATTTTTTTTCCCCCCTTGATTCTAACATTTCTATGAAACTTCTGTGGAATATATTCTTGAAAAATGGTGTATAAAGGTGGCAAAATGTTGTCTTCTCATATGGCTTGCATTCTCATCCTACTTATGCTCATTTTATAATTTTTAACTTTTTAAGTTTTCAACTACTCCTTGCAATATTCAGGAGTTGTACTCTTTTAGATTT